AGTTTAAATTTAGATTTTTATTGCCCTTGGAATGCTGAAATAAACTTTCAGTCCCACAGGTACAACTCCAGGAAGAGACTATATTAAATTTCTGTGTTCATGAAGGTGTGTGCCTTCCTTCTATTCATTACCAGGCATGCAAGTCACATAATAAAGCCGAGCTGGTTTTGTTCTTATCCAATACGTACTTTACTATGCTAACAGAATTCTGCAAGGGCAGTTCCCATTAGCAAGTGGTATCATGTAAGAGCTGAGCATCCCATCAGGGGTCTCTGGAGTTGAACTCACAGATCTGACACACCCAGGGCCTACCAGGGATAGGTCACACTGCTTGGTCTTTATTCCTCTAGCCTGGGATAGATATCTTCCATTTCCCTGTTTCTGCAGAACAACATTTAGAATTAAATCAAATCAAACCAATCAGCTTACTAAGATGAAATTGTGGAAACACAACAGCAAAATTAAACATCTGAGGTTTGAAAAGGCAAACCTTACCAAATTTGCTTATTTGATAAGGAAAGAAGTCTTGAATACCCCAATATTAGTATTATGCAGCAGCCTTACACACCTAACATCCTACCAGCAAAAGAGGAAAGTGGGCCCAAGCAGAAGTAACAACCCTGACGTAGGAATAACCTGACACATCGTAAATTAAAAATCATTGTTTTGTCTGAGATTTCATCATCACTTCTCAAATCAAACCTGTCCTAGATTTAAAACAATTTCGCTAACTGGGAAACAGCAACCCTTCTCTTACAGGAAACAGAAAGATTCTCCATTTCCTTACGTGCTTAGCTGTGTAACTGGAAGCAGAATTCCTTGTTTCCAACATACCCGTGCCTAATGCAGCACGGGCCCAAGGCAGAACATTTTAGGTAACAGTTGCAATGTGCAGTGAAGCAAAGACTGCTACACACGAGACCAGATACAAACCATTATTGGTCTCAATAAATAAATGAATAAAGTTGCTATGTAAGTTCGAAGTTAGGCAGATTCCTATAACCTGAAAATAATCTTTAGGATAAGATGACGATAACCATGCTTATGACAAATAAACTAAATGTGGCAGTCTTTTGATGAAATTTATTATTATTTTATTGATGTACTCCTATCAAATCTCATTCAGTTCTGCTTTTCTTTCAAGCAAAGGCCATAAGTCTTCAAAGTACTAGGATCATGCTACAAGCTGTAGGTCAACACTGGTGGCAGAAAAAGTTTCATTTGTAGGAAATTTTACAGAGGTTATACAAATCTTTTTCTGGTAATAGCAGCTGTAGCTGGTATGAAATGTAGTGTTAAATGAGAGTGGAGCATGGAACATTTTATAATTATAGTTATCCATTGAATTGTTTACTTTTCAAGGTGGCATAGAAGGAAACATTATGGTTTTAATGATGTTCATTACAGCAGAAGAGAATTTGTGATCTAACCTCTAAGAGTAAGTTTAAAGAAAAATCTGTCATTTTTATGGCGCATTTTTGCAATTTATATTTTGTGGTGGTTTGTGGTTTTTTTGGTTATTTAAAGACAGAAAGGAAGTTTGAGGAAAAAGCTGAGAGATTGTGTATTTTTAAACACTGTCTGAGCAATATAATCAAATTGAATTGTCAGTGCTTCTCTGGTCTCCTTTACCCAGAGGAAAGTTTGTGGTTATTTTTTCTGTGTACAACGTAAACAAAAACTGCCTAACCTTCCATTCCTCTTCAGCTCCTAACCTATTCACTTAAACTGCCCTAGATGTGTTTCTCTTTTGCTGGTTTAGGGGAGCTTCTTCCCTTTTTTGGCTTTATTTCACATCTTTTCAAAGCTGTTTTTTCCAAATAGCTTGCTCCTTGGGGTTCTGGCCCTTCCTCCTCTTCTATAGTATTTTGAAATTTAGTTTTACATCCTGTACAGGGCTTTTGATTTTTTTTTAACTGCTACTGCTGTCTTTTCTTTATGCTTTTATAGATATTGACAACATTATGAATTATATTATGCAATACAGAAATAAAGCTCGCTCAAGTTGAAACTTGCTGCCATTTTCTTCCAGTTTCTGAGACTCCCTAGGAATTTATTTTAAAATCTCCTTTAATCCTCCTGCTGGACTGATGCTTCCTTTCAGAAAAGGAGGACACCGTTCCAGCCACAAGAAATGACATAGCATGAAGGAAATGAGTGAAAAAAGTCCTGAGTCATGAAAGCAAAGAAGAAATACAAGTGAAACAGACTTGAGAAAGGATTAAAATCCACAAACTGGAAGGGACAGAAAAGTAGCATGGAGCTCTAATTGAAAGGAATAGAGGACTGACTCTACATAAGAACTAGGTGGATCAAGGAAGGAGAATTTGAACAAGGGAGAGCTGAACTAGCAGACACCTCTCACCTTTTAGCTCCCTTCATTATCCTCCCTTTGCCCCAGGGAGAGCTGGGAGCCCTCCTGACCAACCTTTCCTGGCCACAGTCACTGCTGAAGCTCCAAAGTAAAGCATTCAGGACAGGAGCTGCTCCCAGAGGGTCACACAAGCACTGCCAGGGGGTCGTGATGGACCTGCCCCTCCTTCCTAGGGTGGGAGGAATATCAGGGCTCCAAGGAACACAAGTCAGTTCTTGTTCCCACAGCAGCAATAGAAGGGAAGATCTGTATCTAAGGTCTGCAAGTTGATGCATTTGGTGAATAAGTGGTTGCCTTCTTTGCTGTTGCTCTGGATGTCTGATTGCTGTGGAGGCAAAGCCCTCTGCTAAGAGCTGCCCACCCAGCAGTGTCTGTCAGCAAAGAGAGCCCCTGACACAGCCCCAAAACCGCGCCTCTGCTCAGGGCACCGAGCGCACCCTGTGCCAGCTGTGTGCCCCCTGTCAGCCCCTCACAGAGCCAGTCTGGGGTTTTCTCTGATCCTGAACACTGTTTTGGAGAATCCATGCAGAGTAACCAAAGCACTCTGCACTCATCAAAAGGAGTGTTACAGTTAAATCAGAGCCCCCAGTTACAGATGCACTGCTGGATTTGCCATTCTTGACCACTCTCTGTAGTGTGAGGCATCAGCACCTGAAACAAGAACTGTGCCAACTCAAAAAGCTGAAAAGGGTGTAGTTTTCTTCAATTATTCCCATGAAATGCACAACTGGAGTTTAAAAAACTATGATCTTTAAACATTCATCCTTCTGAATAGGAAGTTAAAAAATTAAATCCCTCTGAGTATCACGGCTATACTTAAAAGATGAATCCCACAATAAAAAATATTTCATATGGATAACTGATACATTTTCTACTAGGTGGAGAAAAAAAAAAAAGATACCCCAAGCTATGACAAGTTTGCTGTGTAGGTGATATATGGTAGTAATTGACATCCTAACAATAGGAGACTATAAAGATACCTTGAAATTATTTTCTTTTCTATTTCTTCCCTATCTGCTTTTCCTCCTCCATTTCTTCAGTAAGGCAGATCTACCAGCAAGACAATTTAATCTTCCAGGGATAAAGAAAAGCTTCCTTGTCTAAGAAAAATAAAAACTACTGGTCAAGGACAGAAAGCCCAAGAGAAGGAATTATCTCCTGACAGTGAGCTATGTTTTTTTATCTCTAGAAACGGAAGCAGCAGTGTTCTGGAAGAAATAACATTGATTTAGCTGGAATGTAAGGAAGACATCTTCTGCTTGATGTATGTAGCCTTCTGGACAAGGGTAGGACAATAGCTTGTATTCCCTGAACAAAATACCTCCTACTGTGTTTTCTCTATAATTTAGTGAGAAGAATTTTATTCCCTTGTAACATTTAACTCTGTGCCATGAGAAACTTCATGCTCAGTCATGAGCCTAGATAGATACTTATTTAATGAGCTACCAACTGGATAATTCTCCTGGGCTCTTTTGCCATGCATAACTGGGAGAGGGAAGAGTCATTGTCCCATCCAGTATGGATAATAAAGCAAACCACACCAGCCAAAGACACTAGGAGAATTCACCTCCTTGGCAAAACAGACACAGAAACCAAACCTCAGCTACTGTATAACTTTACAACATAGAGCAACTCTTTCCATGATTTTTGCTACTGCACTTCACAACATAGCAGTATGCCAGTCAGGTTCAACAATATTTACTAAAGCAACTTATTAGCCAAAGAAACAAACCCACTCACTTGGGCTTCTATGTAAACACCGAACAAGCCTCCACATCTGTCTTCAGGAACATACTTTTGCCATCCACCTTAAAAGCTGCTGATTGTTGCTTGTGATTTCTTCTAAAGGAATGTTCCACTTTTCAAAAGGCCGCTTTTATCTGCTGGCTTAAATATAAAACAACTCTCGTACTTCTATTATCTAGCTGAAGGCATACAAAGCTGGCAAGCTTATGCTTAAGTGCTTTAAGTTAGAAATCAGGAAGCACCTTATTGCTTTCAACTTCACACTTTCAAAACTTTCAACTTCAGTGTTCTGCAAAATGGTGGGGTCCTCAACAGAGTAACTAGAGATATCAGTATCTATCTCTATCCTTTCCTGAGGAGCCAGTCAGAGATGTGGGGAGCCAATATTTCAGCCAGAATGAACATATTACTGGTTTCCAGCAGAGATCCTAATACTGCATATCAACAGGGTTCTTCTAAACAAGAAAAAAAAATTAAGTTAGAAAAGAAAAAGCACAGCATGAACAACCTACAAAGCTAGTGGGGAAAACTGGAAAGGGCTACTAACGGCAAGAATTATTTTAAGTTAATCTCAGAGATGACAGGAAGTCAATACACTCAGGCAGGCACAAACTCAGTTAGCACAACCAAGAGGCTCTCCTCCTGATTGGCAATGCTGAAGTATTGGGCCTTTTAAGAAAGATTACTAAACCAGCTAAAACTGAAAAGCTGCCCAACTCATTGAGGAAACTCAGCAAATGAGCAACTGCAACACAAGGAATATACAAAAAATATCTCAAGATATAAAGGACTGTTGCACATTACTGATGTTGTGGGCATAAACTGCTGTGGCAAAGGGTTTAAAGCTCTGCTACACTGGTCACGTGTGGCCAGGGCTTACCTTGCCTGCCCAGAAGTGCTCAGTGCTTCCTCCCATGTAATAGCCCCTCTGCTTCAAGCTTGCAGAAATGTTTCTGTGCTGTACAGCTGTAGAAACGAGCATCTCAGCATCCTCCTCTGCCCTGAGAACAGACACAGGGTTAGCACAACCTGGCCACGCTGTAGCAGGAGGGAAACTGCCATAAACTGCAGAGGTAAAGGGCTGAGCAAAAAGCATCTGAGTCAGACAGGAACTCACTCAGCTGCTCAGTGTACAACAGCCTTTGTGCAGAAGCATTCATTAGACACCACTGTAGATACAGTAAGACAGAGACACAGTGTGATGTGATATGCTGTCACCACTAAGGTAGGATGTGACAGATACATTTGGAAAATATAAAATATATTCACACAGCTTCAAATTGAGAGAATACACATGAAGCCAACCTGAATGAACAGCCCTGCCTTCTTTGGAATGTGCTGACATTGATAGCACTGATCAGACCAGCTCCTAATTATATCAATTTGTAAGCCATGCCCCCATGTTGTATTTGCAACATCTTCAGCTTTGCTGAAAGCACAATACAGTAAATGCACATTAAAAACATTAAACTGAAATTACCGTTCTGCAGTTGATTTCTGATTATACAGGACTCATCTTCCCAGCTGCTGAAGCATAACCAAAGAGATTTGGCTGCATTTCCATGTTCTGGGCATAAAGCAGTCATGATCAAACCTGTGGGCACTGACTAGCTGGCCTAGAGAACTACAGCCTCAGTTTGGTCTCAGGAGCCAGCACTACCTTACACTACGACCATCTCAGCCACAAATACACAAAACTGTCAGAAACAAAAAATTGTGTTTGTCCTTGATGTTGTGTTCTCCACATTTTTTGTGAGCACTTCACTCATTTTGTCTTAAAACAACTCCAGAACAGTGCAGCTATTTCCTTTCCCACACAGGAAAAGTATTCAAATCTTCAGTGCCATCTGAAAGACTGCTAGTCAACAGAGGAGAGGCAGTTTCTTCCTAAAACCATTCACAGTTTCAAGAGAACTACTACTATTTAAACAAATACTTTACTTGATATATTAAGTTTCAATGTTTTTTAATGGATTTTTTTTTTGTCTTCAAAATATATAAATATTTTAAAGAGGAAATTTTGTCATGGGACTAAAACTGGTTAAAACCCTACACTAATAGAAATTTATATGACAATCACCAGTTATCACGGGACCATTCTGTGACATTCTAGTTATTTAGAAAAAAACCAAAACAACCAACCAAACCAACCAACCTACCCTAGGCATCTTTGGACAACATTTTTTTGGACAATAGCATCATTCCACCATGTGTTTACCACTGAAACTACTGAATATCTCAACAGTTATCCAGAATTCTTACATGATCTTGAAAACACAGCCAAAAGAACCCAGTTGAGCATGTAAGACTCCATGAAAAAATTAAAATGAAATGTGAGAAAAAGAAATACGAATGTATTTCTTCAAAAGTTCTGGTGATTGGAATAATCCTTGTCTCACGCAAGTGTATCTATTGCTTGCAACAATTCAAGAAATGGGATTGGAATTTCTGTGGGATTTATATTTATGGAACAGCAGTTTCCCAAGTTCTGCTGTAATTTCCCACAGTCAGAATGAGTAGCAAGAATTTGCACTGCAACACAGCTATGCAAATTTATGTCAGCAGAAAAAACTCATTTAATGACCCACTGGAATTAAAACAATAGCTTCAAAACTGAGCCCTGGCCTCTCTACTTTAAAAAAAGAAAGATCCTCCTCTTCCTGCTATAAAGGAAAGCTGATTTTTCTCTCAGTGTATTTGCTTTAAAGTCCTTTCTTGTCAATAAAGACCTTCCACTATGTTTATTAGGAAAATAAATATTACTTTCACAGATCAAAATGCTATGTTAAACCCATGCTCCAAGACAGTGATGTCTTAGTTCTGTAGAGGAAAAAAAAATGAATTCCAAGTTTGGTTAGAGCTGTGCAATTGTTCATGTACGTGATAGGCTAAATGCAAAGCTGGTAGGTTTATGCTTATATTAATGGTGGTTAATTCCCAGCAGAACTCTCAATTAGCTTAATCAAGCCACAAGAGGGGCCTGGGAATATTGCAGGAAACTCAGTGAAGGTCTCTGCTCAATGCAGCACTGCAAGAGGTTGGCCATATGACAAAGTGCACAGCTACAGGAATTATAATCTCTGCTGTAGATATAATAACTGCTGAGCATCATCTCACTCTTCTGGATAGAGCTGGTCCTGCCATTTCAAAAGAGGTGTTTCAAACCTAGAGGCTGCAATCTTCTGGGTTTTGTGAACAATTGAGCCTTTGGAAAGGCTCTTCTAAGAATAAAATAGTGAGATTAATCACTCAGAAGACAGCAAAGGAACAATAAAGCCAGATTAAAAACAGAGACATCAGAAGCTTCTCTTTTCCCCCCACCTCAACTGACAGAATTGTAGGGAAATTCAGCTCTATTGTCAGCCAGGAAACACAAAACCAAGTAAAGAATTTATAAAAACATGCAAAAGGGAATTATGAATCCATGCCAATTAATAATTTTAAAGCACAATTCAATGTATACTGAAAAATTTGGGGAGAATCAAAGTAGGAAGGATAACTAACCCATGAAATCTCAAGTCCTGGGGACCAGATTTTAACAATTACAAAATCAGGAACAGCACCACATGCATGGCAAAGAACAAAATACTTCTCCATTCTTTCAGTGGAAATGGTATTTATCAAGACAACATACCAGGCAGTGTGACCAAGATCCTGAAGAGTTATACAAGAAATTTTGATGGAAAGAATTGTAGAGTGACATGTTCACAACTCTATTTTTTAAGTCTCAGCATTTTTATTTCATAACAGAAAGGAATATTGACCTGCTTTGGTGACAGCAACACCAAAACCAGCTGTCATGCCATTAATGGCATAGGCATTTTATCAACAGAAAAGGTTCAGGACTATGTTAATTTCCACTAAAATATTTATGTTTTTAAAGGGGTTGTTACTACTGGAAAAAATGGAAAACACTGTCAGTATAGAAGCAGCTCAAGGAGGATGGCCCTGACTTGGATGACCCTGAAGCCAAAACATTGAAAGCACATTAAAATTTATTAGCATGAAGCCCAACAATGCAGTGAGAATTTCCACTACAAGCTGGATGACTATTAACTGCAAACAAAGCAGGAGTCCGTGAACCTTTAGTCCTTGAATGAGTGTTGTGTAGACAAAAGAAAAACAAACCCTGGAAATATAATTGCAGCTGAAGCCCTGATACTTCTTCGAACATACTGTATGCAACATGAAATACTAATGTGAATGACAATTATTCACATCTTTTGTCTTCATTTTGCTCAAACTCTTCCAACATCTCTTTCTTCGGTCTTCTTCTGATAGCTTAACAGAATTTTAGTCAATTAGGCGGTCACCAACACCAAGAGTGCCACAAGCAACATGCTGCATGAGGACTCATGACTAAGTCTGAAATCGTCTTTGTTAGTGATGTAGGCACAAGAGGCAGGAGACCCTTGGGTGTAGTCTTCAAATCTACATGCTGATGCAATGTTAGACCCCTTCTCCAATAGCTCCACAATACCATCCCCAACGAAAATTTTATAAACCAGGATTTTTAGAATCCAGATACATCCCGAGTTCAGAACAACTGTTTTGCTTTAGGAATCCCATACTGTAAGAACCTAAGTGCTACTGGTTAAATGGGACATGGTGAAATGGGACACCACATCTCCCCAGCTGTATAAAGCTGCACAAAGGCAATGGCATTATCTTCCTCTCTTGTCCAACAAAGGGCTCAAAGTCATCACGGGGGAGCGCAAGTATGCTCTGCACCCAGATGTGCCCAGCTGCTCACACTGGGATCACCACTGCTTTTGCTTTTGACCACCAGAGCAGAGGAACCCTACTGCCCTTTATCCTTGGAATACAGCAGGAAGGAAGGAGGTACTAGTGGAAGGGGAAACACACCCAGTGCAGGCATCACTGCCTCCAGCCCACACTGGATTTTCAGCAAGTGCCCCAAAGCACAGGGACTGACTGTCTCGGGACAGCCTTGCCCGAGACCTCTCCTCCCATGCAAGGCACACAGCTTGTTTCACTCTCCAAAAAAACACAAGGCCTATTTTCTTTTTGGGCAACCAACAGCAGAGGCCTTTCAGCAACTCTTACCAGGCAGAATACACACCACACTTCACCCACTGATCCTGTCGAAGGGTGAAATTCAACAGTTCCACAAGTGTGTGCGTGTGTCCCACCCAGGATTTCTGCACTACAGAGGTTTTCCCTCAGAACCTGAGCCTTCCTACTCTCCCTCTGCACATCCCACTGGAGATGCCTCCAAAAAAACCCGACCTCTCCCTGCCTGGACCACCTTTACTTCTTAGTGGAAAGGACACTCTCGGGGGTCACCCTCAGAAGCACAGGCACCAGACGGAGTACAGAAGCTGCTTCCAGCTTCCTCACAGCACCCTCACGGTCCCTCCCTGCCTCTAACCCCGCCGTGACCCGCCCGCTCCGCTCCCGTACCTGTTGCAGCTCTCCCTCCGCACGGCTCCAGCCGGGGCTCTCCAGCTCTCGCCGATCTCCCTCTCCAGCTCGCGGGAAGGACGCGGGCAAGGCTCTCGCTGCCGGGGGCGGCACTGCCGCTGACAGAGCCGGGCGAGCCGCCCCCGCTGACCCCGGGCAGGGCGCAGCTCTCCCCGCTCGGAGCCGCGCAGCCGCCGGCGGGGCTGCGGGAGCCGCTGCCCGGCCATGCACGAAGCCTGCCTCTGCTGGCTCCTCGGGAACGGCCGCTTCCAAACCAACTTATTGGGCTTCCAGATGTACCTGGGGGGCAGACGAGGGGAAATTATGTTTTGCAATGTCGAGTGTGCATTAAGTATTCCCTGAGTTAACTGCATTTGACTTGTGTTGGACCAAACTCCCCATCTCCTGCTGGAGTCATTAATCTGTACTTTCTCATCGTTGGCGCAGAAGAGAGTCGGTTTGTTTCTCCCTGTGCACCCCCTTCGCCCCCACACGCCGTCCCTAAAAACCCAACAATTAAAAACGTGGATTTTCCCTTTAATTCCCCTACATTGTGTAATTATATTCACATTAGAAATCAATCAACATTGGTCATTACCATTAGCGATATGCTCATAAAGCAAACACTAGATATGCTAATGAACTGAATGAAACATAATTTCTTGTTGTGTAAACTCATGCTCAACGCTAATCAGCAATAAATTCAATCAGACATTACATACATCAACCGAAAACACATTAAAGCAGGGTACAGAGCAGCGGCTGCTCATTTCTGGGGGCAGCACGGCCCCGAGCCCCGAGCAGCCCAGCAGCGCCACGGCCGCGGGGACCGGGGACGAGGCCGCGGGAGCCCTGAGGGGACACGGCCTCCCTGCGAGGGACCCCTCGGTGCTGGGGCGTTCGTGACTCCGTGACTTACCGGCCGTGGCCGGGCTGCCGGACAAAGCCAGGCCCTTTTCTGTCTCCGGCCCCGCGCAGCCCGGACAGTGGTGCCTGTAGCCAGATCCCCCAGCTTCTCCAGCCGCTTAAAATGGCACCTATGTCCAGTTCCTTCGGCTTGGTCACCCCCTCGGAGCCCGTTCTCCTCCCAAGACCGGCTCGCAAAGCCCGGCGTTGCCCAGGCAGGAAAGTGGCCTTGCCTTGCCCGCTCAGGTGCAGGCGGTTTCCAGGATGAGAACGGGCTCCGAGCAGGTGCAACCAGGTGCTCATTTAACATTTCCCCACTAAACACGGAGCCCAAGCACCGGCCACGCGTAGAGATGCGATGGCTGCAAGTATGGGTGGGACCGGCTGGCCAGGAGAAGCCCAGCGCCCAGTTTGCCCCGCCGGGCGGCGCCGGCCCCAGGGGGCTCGGCAAAGACGGCGTCCCTCGGCCGCCCCTCGAGCCTGATCGGGGACACCTTTGCGGCCTTCCTCTCCCTGTCCGCCGGGGGCGCAGGGATGGTAGAAAGGGGCTGTTTTAAACACACCGCGTCTGCCGGAGTAAATCCCCGGGCAGCAGCCCGGCAGCACCGCCCGCTCCTCCGAACACCGCGGCCGTGGGAGCTCCGGGCCGGGCCGGGGCGGGGAGGGAGCGGGACCCGCCCGCCCCTCCAGGGAGCCGGGGCGGGGTCCTGGGCCAAGGCCCCCGCCCAGGACACGGGCACGGGCTCCCCGGCCCGGCGAGGCGGCCGAGCGCCACGGGGGGCTCGGGGCGGCGGCTTTACCTCCTCAGCCAGGCCGCCGTAACTCCCGCCCCACCCCGGGGCTCGCTGAGGGGAGCAGCGCTGAGCGGCGCGGGGGCCTCGCTGCGCGGGCGCGGAGCACACGGGGCTGTTTCAAGCAGCCACGGTGGCGTTTTATAACAGCCGCAGAGCAGCGATTTGCTGTGATCGGAGTAATGTAATATCCAGCTGCACAATATTAATGAGACGCTCAGAACCAGGGGAAAACTTTCAGCGGAAGGTGGCGGGTTTATTTGTTTCGCGTTAAGGGAGAGGAGGGAAAAGGAAAAAACAAAAGACAAGCATCAGCATCGTCAGCCCCCGCACCTGCGGAGATCGCTGGGATCCCCCGCGGCGGGCCCAGGCAGGAGTTGCTGCCTGGCTTCGGCGCGATGAGGCGGGGGAGGTCACAGGGCCGCCTTCCTTTCTCTTGCAACCTAGTAATTTTTTTCCTTCCCCCTGCCTTTTTTGTTTTCCCCCACTGCCCACTCTCCGCAGTCACGGGAGGCAAGGGCGGCTCCTCTCGCCCTGGCCAAGCCATTCCGGAGAGGAGGGTGCGAAGGGGGAATGGGGCTGGTAGCCGGGCGGGAGACGGCGCGGTGTGAGAGGCTTCAGGAGAGAGTAATAAAGAGTCTCGCTTTGAGAGAGGAGCCTGCGGCTGGAGAATGCGACGTGTTGGTTATCTTGAGCAGTTTGTAACTCCAGGTGAACGCAGTCCGGCTGCTTTCCGTTCTCCTTACGTCCCCTCGCACGGCTCCTGGCCAGCGGCCGCAGGTGCCGAGGCTCCCGGCGCGCTGCGGGCAGGGTTGGGGAGGGCCGGCCCGCGCCTCCCCTGCTCCTGCGGGGCGCGAAGCACGACCTGGGCCAGGCGGCAACCGCGGGCCCAGAGGGCGTTTTGGCCCCTGCGCTGCAGGGTGACAGACGAGTAGGAGCTGGCAGCAGGCTGGTGTATTCCACTTGGCGTCCACGGGCCGCGGCCATTCCCGGCTCCGGCCGACCCCGCTCCCCACCGCCGCCCCGCTCGGAGCGCGTCCCCGCCCGCCCCGCCGGTCTGTTTCCAGGGCAGGACCTGTAAATAAAGCGAGAAGCGTTGCTTATTGTGCTCGTATTAATCCCCCCCTTCTTGGAGCTAATTAAATTCCTTCCCGGGAGTCGGGGATTCGAGCGGCTCCGCTGGTGCCGCAGCCGGGGCAGCCCCGCGCCAGCCGCCGCCGCGCCACGCACACAGCCCGGGGGTCGTTTCACCGATTTATTTCACATTAAAGTTTAGATACAATCGAAATCCTCGGTACGCACCTTTTAATAAAAGTAGTAATCTCTTTGAGTACTGCAAAATTATAGCATTTATATCTTCAAAAGACGGTAAACAAATAATACCAGCGAATCAATAGTACCAGCCTCGAGTGCACATGGTCAGGTGGTTTTAGGCAGCCGTATAAAATGCGATCTGGTTCAGAGAATATAATACAGATAAATGCTATAAATAAGTGGGTATCAGAGACGGCGTGAAACTTCCTCCTATCGACAGGTCCGCTCGGGCTGCCGGCACCGCCCGCAGGGCTTGCGGGACCCGTGCGGGGGAGCTGCGGGCAGCGGGGCCGGCGGTCCGCACCCCCGAGCCGGCCCCGCCGAGCCTCCTCCCCCGGCCTACCTGCATTGAGAAACCTCATTTCTGGTTAAGAAAAATAAAAGTCCCATTTAAACTTTATTGAATTAAAGCAAAAATTAATTTTCAATATTCACACATATATTACAGAGTAATAGTAAAAGTTCAATATACTTCCTGGCGTTTAGTTGGGCCACGTTGTACAAGAGCAAAACAAGCATCAAAACATTTAGCAGCCTTAAATTTCACAATCACTCAGAATTACATAGAAATATTGAAATACTCTAGTCAACCTTGGCTGTGGATAGTTCTTCATGTAGAAATTTTTCCTTTTGCCAGCCAGTACACAGCAAGAATTGCATTTTCCCTTCCATCATGGCATCCATGTAGTCAAAAAATACTTTGCTTTTTTCTTTTTTTAAAAGTTAAACTCAGAGAAAGAGTCAAGATTAACATGTTTTAAAAACAAAACTACAAAATATGCTGTAAAGAACAATGAAAATATCTAAAGTCTACTTGTGTGAGGCAGAAGCCATGGGGGAACAATGGCAGATTACACCAATGACACAGAGATGGGAACTAATTTTGTGGGAGGAGAGAGAAGAATATAAATGGGGGTTTGATCAATTATAGTGTCTCCCGCCTGTTGGCTGCAACACAACAAAAATAAGTAGTAATTCTTCAAAGCAGATGTACACAAACCTAAGCAGGATTAAGCTTCTTTAATATTTGAATGTAAAAAGTCTGCTGTCCATGACTCTTCAAACCCAGCTTTGACTTGGGAATTTGTAAGAGATTTCTCCCTTTTCTTGGATGAGAAGTGCTTTAAAGCGGGAACACTAGAAATCCAGAGAATGTTGAATACTTCCAGCCTCCCATCAAGTTTCCTCTCTCCAGTTTTAGATAAGCTCTGTCTCCTTTCTCCATCTGAATCAGTACTCCATTGCTAGCAGCTTCTCGGGTCACATCTTGGTCCCCTGCAAAGGCAGAAATCACTGGCCACCCGTTTAGCATCAAACTCACCTAAAGAGCAAGATAAAACAAAGCCCTCTGTCAATTAAAGTCAGACAATGACACCGCTGGGGCTCACCTAACAGGCAAAATGCTTAGTTAAGGAAAGGCCTCTTTTGACAGCTGAAATTCCAGCCCCATAAAAAAGAAATATCAGTCTAAACCCAGCTAAGGTATGTACTCCAAAGGAAGAAGTCTTTCACCACTGTTTTAGACCGACAGCCACATCAAAACACCCGGTGCATATAAAGCTGGACATTGATCCTATTTTGGAGACTTTCAATAGGGTGCCTGTGTTTTCAGGCTATGAAAAGAGGTCTGCTTGTACTTATTGAAAGATGGCTTTATGTGAAACCTCAGAGACAGCAAGGAGCAGAGCCACAGCCGCCAGAGTCAGGGCCTTTGAAGTGTATTCAAGGGGTAGTTTTCCTTTGTTAGGCAGCAAAGACAATATGCCACAACACAGTCAATAAGGTCTGCTAAGCTCGCATTAATGATCCCGGGACTGCACACCCCACATTAATAATGCACTACCTGTCCAAGCTAAAGGTGTTAAGCCACTTGCACCAGAATGGTGCTATACAGCTGTTCATACACCTTTGCAAAGTGCATCGTTATACAGTCAGATTTCCTGTCTTGATTACCTGGCTTCAGGCCGGTAATTTATTAACCCTACCTAGAGCAGCATATGCATAGAAAAGGCAGGTATGTACAGAGTAGCTGCATAGACATGCACAAATTCATTATCATTTCCATGCCATAGGCACCTCCCTGAACCCCAAATCCCTATGAAACCTTCTGCCACAGGACAGTGGGTGAGCAGCCTGCCAGGGATCGCCGTTCCTACGGGCTCTGTGAAGGGATGCTCCCGCCAGTGTTCCGCGGCACTGGGCAGTCCGAGGGCCCGGACAAGCTGGGAGGAGGCGGCACGCGGCCGACCACCTCCCATCCCGGGACGGCTCATGCGGAGAGAGGCCAAGCGGAGGCCTGGTGGGGCTCCGTGGCCCCTTGGGCACCGTCCCCTCGAGCGGAGCCTCGCCGCAGGTCTGGGCTCCCGCGGCGGCCCAGGGGCACGTCCCGCCCCGCCGCCCGCACGGCCCCGTCCCCGCCGGGCCGCCGACCCGTCCGCTCCCTCCCGCGGTGCCCGCGGAGCCCGGCGACGGCGCTCGGGGCTGACCTGGATGGTTTGCCTGTTGTACACTTTCACCACGTGAAAATTGAAACTGTAAATCCCTTTCCTAGGCGCGATGAAAGTGCTCCGCTCCGAGTCGAAGTTGCTGCCGATATTCACTAGTACCTGTAAGGGAAGGGCACCGTCAGCACCAACGCGGGGCCGCTGCCGCCCAGCCCCGCTGCCCCCCGGCTCCCAGCGGCCCCCCTCCTGCGGGCAGGGCCCCGCGGGGCGGCGCGTCGCCGGCCCGGCCCCGCCACCGGCCCCGGCAACTTCTCCCGCGGCGGCGCGCCCCGAGCCCCGCCGCCCCGGAGCGCCCGAGCCCCGCCGCGCCCGCCCCACCTGGTCGAAGTAGATGATCATGGTGCGGTTGCTCATCTCGGAGGGCTCGTGGTTGGTGCTACGGATGGCGGAGAAAGCGACCTTGGCGCTGCCGGAGCGCACGGAGATGCCGAGCGCCGTGCCGGTGGGGTCGGAGGTGGGGTTGGAGTCGCACACCACGAGGCACTTGCCCTCCAGCACGATGGGCTCCGTCTCGTTCTGCCCGCACGCCACCCACGCCGCGCCCAGCAGCAGCCCCAGCCCCAGCCCCAGCCTCGAGCCCCGCATGGCGCCGCGCTCCCTTCGCTCCGCGCCGGGCGGCACCGTCCGGGCTGCGCTCCGCTCGCTGCCCTGCCCCGCCGCGCTCAGAGCGGGGCCGAGCGCGCCCCGCCGGGTGGGAAGCGGCCGCGAGGAGGCACGGGAGCGCCGGCACACATAGCGCGGAGCGCTGCGGCGCGGAGCGGGGGCCGAGCGCTTCGGAGCGGAGCGGAGCCGCCCGCCGCGCCGAGCGGGGCTGAGGGAGGCGGCGGGAGGCGGCGGCGCTGCCGGGGCTGCCGGCGAGCACAAAGACGGCGCGAGGCGCGGCCCCGCCTCCCCACCGGCCCCGCGCTGGCGTCAGCGCCCCGCGCCCGCCTCCGCCGCGCCCGGCCCAACCGGCGCCCGCCGCGCGCCGCCGCCGCCAATGGCCGCGCAGTCCGCCTGCCGCCGCCCGCCGCCGCCGCTTTTGTGG